TCTTTGGCACAATCCATCAGTTATAAGGACCAATAAGGTGTTACTACATCATTTTAACATGGTCCATGTTCTTCAGCAAGGGAACAAAGCACATACCCATCTTCCTGGCCCTAGACCAGGAAATCAGGTTCCACTGACCTCTTCCTGCTATAATCTAACAATCCTAAGCTTTTCACTGAAATAAAGGCTCATCTTTTTGTCACCAATATTCTTCTAGTGATGCCATATGGTTATGAGTCATGGAAAATTACAATCCTTTGTAGAATTGAAGTTGGGGGTCACCCAAAGGGCAATGGAAAAGCATATGGTGGGTGTGAGCAAACTGTAACATTACAAATAAGGAGTTGTGTAGAAATGGTGGCAAAAGAAATATCATCAGAGAAAGGTATGACCATAAAAAAAGATGGGTTAGTCATAGAGGCAGCTGGGTGGTACAATGGATAGAGTGCCAGACTTATAGTCAAGACAGACCTGAGTTCAGATTCAGCTTCAGACACTTTTTAGCTGTGTGACTTTGGGCAAGTGATATAACTTCTGTCTGCCTCAGTTTCCTCAGTATCTGTACAATAGGGATAATAATAGACCTTTCCTCTGAGGGTTGTTGTGAAAATCAAATAAGATAATATTTGCAAAGTGCTTTTGCAAATCTTAAAGCCCCATATAAAAGCTAGCTATTATTATTATGTAGCAAAGTAGAGGGATAACTGACGGCTACAAACTTCACTGGATCCAGAGCATATCAAAAGAGTTACAGAAAGGCCCTCAGCACATGGTGGATCTAGGAGAGGGTACAGATAAGAGTTTCCAGAATGACCAGGCATGGAGGCATTATAATCAAACTATCAAAGTAACAGTCCTTATTATACTGTGGTTTTGATCAAACTATCCAAGTTAACAGTCCTTATTATACTTTGGTTTCATCTATATGGGCATTCCCTCCACTTTGGAAGATTGTAATCCTTCCCCACTTTAATAGATGTTTTTCATGTTGGTGGCCTAACATTCAGGTGGTAAGAATCATTATATTATAAGACAAAGAAAATAAATAATCTTCAAAATGTTAATGGAAGAAAAAAAATTCTTACATTTATGTAAGGTGAATTTTAGTGTGTGTAAGGAGGATTTTGTTATTCTTTTTAGATAATTGTTCCAGGATCCTAGATAATATTTCCCACAAATTATGGTTGAAAACATCTCCACCACACTTGTGCAGTGAGATATAGGGATGACATAATGTACACCTGTGCTGTGCTAGGTCATGACAATATTGCTAAAGTTAACCTGTGAGCTTAATGTTTGCAAGATGCCTTCTTTGTCTGTTGCCCTATAAAGCAAGTGGACACTGGTCAGTAAGCGGGGAACCCATTTTGGGATTTGGGTAATGCATAGAGGAATGTATGTACCTGCCTTGAGTGGCTCCCATCAAGGTTTGAGGGAATTTAGGAGAGTGCACAAGCTGGAATGCTGTGCCTGTCTCAACTGACCCCATGGAGACAGGGGTACTTGCCCCCCCTTCTCCTTGGCTCCTTCCAGTAGGGTGATTAGGGAATGCTATAGGAGTTGGTGTCCCATTATCAGCAACCCTCTTTTGAGAAGACTAGACTAAAATAAAGTAAGCTTATTTAACTCCTCCAAAGCTGTCTTCCTGTATGACCAGATCAAAAGTAAACCTTGCTAGAGTGAACCTGTTACTCTTAGGAGCCCTCCTGTGTTCTCCTGCCCAACAAATGGTGTTACTTGTGTGTTCACCTGTGAAACAATTTATAAAGCACTTTAAGATTCACAAAACACTATAATACACACAGAGACACTGACACACACATGTATGATATGTACATATACATATCATATATACACATCTTCAATCAATCAATCAAAAAGCATTTATTAAGAGCTTACAATTTTATACGCTAGGCACTATGCAAGGCACTGGGGATTCAAATACAAAGAATGAAACAATCTCTATTCTTGAGGAACTTATGTCCTAATGGGGCAGACAAGTCATCGAAATGTAAGTTATGTGGGCTCTCATCTATTGATGTGGCTCATGTGGGGCATGGAGAAATATTATCTGAAGTCTAGCTTGCCTCTAAGGAGAGGAGAATTCTGGTAGTGGATATACTACTGTCAGCACACTAGTTCGGAGAGAGAAGCAGGAAGGTCCCAGGAGCACCACAAGGCTGGCTGTTCTTTTCTCCAGTCTCCAAGGGGATTAGAATTATGTTAGGGGATTGGAATTATATGTTTTTGCCTCCCTAAATATTGGTCTTCTAGGAGTATGATTTTTGAGGATTCAGAAGGAAAGCCACTTTCCTAGGTACTCTTTTTTTCCTTTTTTTTTGTTTTATTAATTTATTTTTAATTTTCAACAATCACTTTAATACATTTTTGAGTTTTAAATTTTTCTCCCTCTCCCTCCCTGTCCCCTTCCCCAAGATGGCATGCAATCTGATATAGGCTCTACGTATACATTCCTATTAAACATATTTTCACATTAGTCATGTTGTAAGGAAGAATTAGAACCAATAGGAGGAACCACAAGAAAGAAGAAACAAAACAAAACAGAAGAAAAAAAAAGAGCAAATAGTACGCTTCAGTCTGCATTCACACTCCATAGTTCTTTCTCTGGATGTGGATAGCATTTTCCATCATGAGACTTTTGGAGATCCTTGCATTGCTGAGAAGAGCTAAATGTATCAAAGTTAGTCATGGCACAATATGGTCGTTACTGTGCACATTCTCCTGGTTCTGCTCACTTCATTCAGCATCAGTCCATACAAGTCTTTCCAGATTTTTCTGAAGTCTGCCTACTCATCATTTCTTATAGCACAATAGTATTCCATTACAATCATATACCACAACTTGTTCTGCCTTTCCCCAACTGATGGGCAACCCCTCAATTTCCAATTCTTTGCCACCACAGAAAGAGTTCCCTAGGTACTCTTAAGGGAAGGGTAGCTCCAAGCTTACTACATGCTAGCTTGATTCCTTCCCACCAAATAGTAGTTATACATAAGACCATCAAAAATAGTGGATAGCTAGTAAATCCATTTATCCAGCAAAAGAGCAAACAGAAATCAGAGAAAACCATACATATTATAATTTACCAGAAAATATGCAAGAATGAACAAGCCCTTTAGATGGGTACATGATATGATCTAAGCTCAACCCAACTCATTCAAGACAGTGGGCTTGATCTCAGCCAAGGAGAAGCACCCTTTCCAAAATTTCTATGGAAGAAAACAGGGAATCTTTTTCCATGAACAAGACATTCCACTGCTGGCTCCAGACATTTTCTCTGGCTGTCTCCCACGCCTGAACACTCTCCCTCCTCATCTCTACTACTGGCTTCCTTGGTTTCTTTGAAGTCTCAACTGAAATCCCACCTTCTACAGGATGCCTCTTAATTTTGGTGTCTTCCTTCTCGTAACAATTTCCTATTTATCCTGTATACAGCTTGGGTTTTTATACATATTTGCTTCTTGTCTCCCCCATTAGATTATGAGGGCAGAGACTGTCTTTTGCCTCTTTTTGTATTACCAGAGCTTAGCACGGACATAGTACCCACCTAACAGATGTCTGTTGACTGACCAAGAATAGATGGAAAATAATCTGAGAAGAAAAAGCACTAGAAATGGGAGGTGGGGACGTGGTGGGGCAGAGGGAGAATCTGGAAAAGCCTTCTGTAGATGATAGGACTTGAACTGAATTCTGAAGAAAGCCAAGGAAACCAACCTCTTCCTATGAGGTGGTTCTTTCTCTACTGATTTAAAAAATGCTCATTCTTAAAAAACCTTCACTAGATTCTGCTATCCCCTCAAGTCATCATCCTATATCCCTTTGCCTACTCAGTAAACACCAATGGCTTCCTAATTACCTCCAGGATCAAATAAAATTCCTCTATGTGGTATTTAATGCTCTTCGCAACCTGGCCTTTGCCTCTTCTCACACTTTCTGTCTCTTCCTGGCCCCGTTTGGGGTTTTCTTGGCAAAGACACTGGAGTGGTTTGCCATTTCCTTCTCCGGCTCATTTTGCAGATGAGGAAACTGAGGCAAACAGGGTGAAGTGTTTGGCCCAGGGTCACCCAGCCAGAAAGTGACTGAGTTCACTTTTGAACTTATCAAGATGAGTCCTCCCGGCTCCGGGTCCAGCAGTCTATTCACTGTGCCACCCAGCTGCCCCTTCAGGTTTAGCTCAAGAGCTACCTCCTATTTAAGCCTGTCCTGATTTTGCTTAAGATCAGGACTACTCGGCTAGTACAACGACATTGACTTCATTCTGCACATACTTTATACATGCTTATAGTTCTAGGGCACTCCTTTCGTTGGTCATCTCCGGCTGATCCTGTCTACACCTCGTCTGTACGCACTTGTTCGCACGTTGTCTCCCACCTTTGAGCTCCTGGAGAGCACGGACCGTCTTTTGCCTTTGTCTCCCCAGCACTTGGTGTATGCAGTGCCTGCCATACAGCAGAGCAGGTGCTTAATAAATGCTTGTTGACTGATAGAGTAAGGTCTCTGGGGGAAGGAGTTGTTCCGCTCTGGTTTTCTTATCCCTGTTTATTGCCTGAAGGCGAGAAGAAGACCCAGGCAACAGCTTAAGACCGTCCTCTATCGAGTAAACGCTTACTTCCCTCAGCTCTAGAACACAGTTTGGCGCATGCGTGCGCGAGCGCAGACCTTCCACACCAGTGACCCTCCCCCTGCACAGCCGCACTTCCGCCCTTTAAGAAGATGGCCACACCCAAACTTCGTAATGAGAGAAGCCCCGGCGGCCGTGGAGAGAAAAAAAGCAAAGGATACTTGCAGTTTCACTTCTGCCCTTTACTAAAATGGCGACGCCCATTCGGGCTCACCAACTTCCGCCTCTCGCCGCCGCGCCTCAATGACCTGCAGGGGAACGGAAGCGGCGGGCCAGACTGGTTTCCGCCCTTCCTCAAGGTGGCGGCTCCCAGGAACCACACGCCGAGTTCCGCCCCGTACTCAGGCGCTGGTGCAGCAATGGCGGCGGAGGCGAGGCCGGCGTGAGTGGGGTGAGGTGCTGTGCCTTCCCGGCCGAAGTTTCTCAGCCACGTGGCTCTAGGTTGTGGGTGCTATCAGGATGTCGGAGGGCAGCTCGGCGGGGGAACCGGGCCCAGCCGGAGGGGGCCGTCCCTCGCTGCCCGGGGCCCGGGGGCTGATCGGGCGGCGGCCCGCGGCCCCTCTAACCCCGGGCCGCCTCCCCTCCATCCGTTCCAGAGACCTCACATTGGGGGGCGTCAAGAAGGTAAGAAGGGTGGTGACAGAAGGCTGCCCGCCCCGCTCGCTCCAGCCCTTCTTTCCAGGCTTATTGCACACTCTTCCATCCCCTCGCTCCGTAGTCCATTCCTACTGTTCTCGGTGCCTTAGCCTTCATCTCCCGCCTCCGAGCCTTTGTACATTCGGTTTCCCCTCCGTACTCCTCGTGCTTGTGTCGCTTTTCTAACTTAGATTGGCGTCCCTCGAGGCTGCACCCCGATGTTTGGTGCTGCTGGAAGCTTCCTCCAATCCTGCCAAAGTTGTTAGTGTTCTTTCCAGCTCAAATCATATTTATCTGTTTATATCGTTTATCTCAGCTCCTCCAGCCCCGAAATGGTCAGGGTTTTGGTTTGCACCCCCATAGCTTAACACTGTTCCTGCATGTAGGGAGTGCTTGCTACGTTAGCAAGCTACGTAGGGACGTAGCTTGCTACGGTCCCTTGCTGCAGGGACCCGGTGTGTGGGCTCTCTTTGCTGACGCTGAGCCCTGTGCGTAAAACTTGCAATGCTTTAGTGAAAAGAAAAGTTTTAAATAAGACAAAATAAACCCACTGTGTGCCAGGCACTGTGCTAACAGATATCTTAACCTTTACAAATATTTCACTCACGTGATCCTCATAGCTATACTGGGAGGAAGGTGCTGTTATGATATCCATTTTACAGATGAGGAAACTGAGGCAGACAGGTGAAATGATTTGCCCCAGGTCAGACAGCTAGTAAGCATCATCTGAGGTCAAATTTGGTCTTGGGTCTTCTGATCAGGCCGAGCATTCTGTTTCACCACCTAGCACGTGGAATTGGTGTGATTGAAAAATTCCATCTCCTTGCTGCCAGCCTGGTGATGAGGCTCTCTGTCCTTAGCCGGTACTGCTGGTCCTTGGACAGCAGTGGTCTGTACTGGACATTTTCCAGCATGGCAGGACCTGCAATAGCTTGGGTTCCTCTGGCATCACAGTTGCTTCCTCCCCAAGATAAAGCATCAGAAAAGGACTTGAGTGAAGAAAATTCATTCCACAAGCATTTATTAAGTTATATGTCAGATACAGAAAATGGTACTGAAGAGGTACTGAAAATGAGTACAGTTGTTTCCCTTTGGTGTTTACATTCTGTGTCAGAGGAAACCAGGTATACACAGACAAGTCAGTACCAAATATGAAATGGAAAGAGTGCTGGGCCAATCTCAGACACTTAATAGCTGTGTGACCCTGGGCAAATCACTTAACCCTATTTGCCTCAGTTTTCTCATCTGTAAAATGAACTGGCGAAGGACATCGCAAGCCACTCCCGTGTATTTGCCAAGAAAACCCCAGATGGGTTCATAGTCAGATCCGAGGACTGCACAACAAGGAGTTAGAGGAAAGAAGAGCCCAAGGAGAGGACGTAGTGGTTGGCCAGAAAGGTTGGCGCTTGAACTGAGTCTTGGGGTGCTAGGGATTCCAACAGGAGGTGAGCAAGGAGAGCTTTCCAGGCACTGGATGCAAGCCTGTACAAAGGCATGGGGGTCGAGTAAGTATTCTCCTGTAGTTGGAAGGTAAAGTATATGAGGGGAAGTAATATGAAATAAGTCTGAATAGATAAGTTGGAGTCAGATTGTGAAGGGCCTTAAGTGCCACGCAAGAATTTTTATTTAATTCAAGAGGCAATAGGGAGCCACTGACTTTTTTTTTTGGTGGGAGAGGCAGTTGGTGTTAAGTGACTTGCCCAGGGTCATACTGCTAGTAAGTGTCCCTGGCTGGATTTAAACTCAGAGCCCCCACACTCCGGGACTGTTGCTGTATTCACCGAGCCACCTAGCTGCCCCACCCCCAACTTATTTTTGAGTGGGAGAAGTGACATAGTCAGACCTCTGCTTTAGGAATACTGATTTGGCAGATGTGTGGATGTTAGGTTGGAGAGGGGAGAAACTCATTAGAAGGCTGTTGCTGTAGTCCAGGTGGGAAGTTATGAAGGTCTGGACTAGGGTGGTGGCTCATTGAGCAAAGGGGATATGTACAAGAGATGTTTAGTGGTAGAATTGCAAAGACTCAGCAACTGATTGACTGTAAAGGAGAGGGAAAAGTTGAGGACACATAGTAAGTAGTAATGATAATAGCAATTCTTTAATCCTTAAAGGACTTGAGATTTCACTGATTCATATCAGAGCTTTCTCTATCTAGTAAGCAGACCACCTTCATGTGTTGCTGTGGCTTAAAAAAAAAGTCATACAACTGTCAGCCTTTTGGTGATGAGAGTGATGACTGTGGCTCACTGGCATGCATGTGTGGTTTACAAAATGCTGTCCTCAGCATCATCCATGAGGTGGATAATGCAGGTATTACGCTCTCTATTTTTGAAGGGAGTTGGCCACAATTCACCAGACAAGATAACAGCCCAAGTCTTCTAACTTCTAACTCTTAGAGGCCAGTTCTTTCCCCCACCCCCAGCTTCTCTGCTTTAGAAACTCAGCACCATAGTTCTTGGGCTGTTTTCCATATCCACCAAGGGTTAGACCAGGGACCAAGAAGGCCCTGCCGGACTGGGAGAGCTTCCAGTATGGACTTGTGAAAGGCAGTCTCTTTTGTCCAGTGACCAACCTAAGTATTACTGTAAGAGAGAGCAACTCACATTTCTATAGCATTTTAAGGTTTACAAAGCACTTTCTTCTGAACAAACAGCCTTGTATAGTAGACAGTGCATAGTATTATTTTCTCCATTTTACAGTGACTTACTGGGGATCATGATTGCTGGGGATCACATGGCTACTAAATGTTGGAGCTGGGAGTTCTCTCCAGGTGCAGTGTCTTTGCCATTATGCCACCCAGCTTTGCCAGGAATTCATTTCACAAACATTAATTAAGCTTTGTGGGCTTGGCCTTTGCTAGGTGCTGCTAGGTACAGCCTGCATCTGGGGCAGGCTTCTCATAGATCAGGTGGCCCCTGACCTGAGCCTTGAAGAGCACGTAGAGATGTGGTGAGAGTTTGTCTCGTGTTTGGGAGTATGTGAAAAGGAGTGACGTGAAAAAGACGGCATCATAGAAGAGTTAGAGCTGGAAAAGACTTTAAGATCTTCCCATTTTATAGCCTGGAGCCCAAAATGGCTTGCCTGAGGTCACTCCGTTCCTAAGTAGTCCTTCATAAGAAGGACTTCACAGAATCAGAATTTTAGAGGTGAAAGACCCTTACTGGCCACTCAGTCCAACCCATCTCTGAAAAAGCATGCCCTACCTCTTCTGATCTTTTATTGTTAGAGGGAGTTTTTTGTCACCTTAGCATAAATTTGCATCTCTGCAGGCACTGATCTTGACGGGCAAAGCCAGTATCTTTTATACTACAATACATCATGTAGAGGTAAAAGCCAGATTCTGAAGGTCTTAAATGTCAAGCTAAGGAATGATATACTTTAAATGGGAATCACTGAAGGACCTTGAGCGATGTGGGTCATGCCTCTGCCGGGGGAAGATTATTTTGGCAGTTTTGTAAAAGGATTGATTAGAGGGAGGAGAAACTAGAAGTTTGGGAGACTAATCAAGAGACTAATTTACTGATGACCTTGGACAAATTATTCCACCTCTCTGGGCCCCAGTCTGCTCCTCTGTGTAATAAAGGGGATTAGGCATGTCTCTGAGGTCTCCTCCAGCTGTGACTTCTGTTTCTGTTACAGTAACCTAAGTTAGAGGTAATAATAACCTGAACTTTGATGGTGTCTTTGTGAATAGAGAAGAGGGGGTGGGTTTGAGAGAGATAATAGAGATAAAATTGATAGGACTTGGCTACTGATTAGATCCTGGGAAGAGAGAGAAAAGCAGGAAAGAGAACTCCCTACTTTTGAGTCTTGGTCACAGGGAGACTAGTGAGTGTACCATCTGCAGAAAAGAGGAAGGAATTAGGAAGGTCAGGTTTAAGGAGAAATGAGTTTAGTTCTGGATGTACTGAGATACAGGTTCCAGGGAGTCGTGTAGCTTACCATATAGACTGAAGCTCAAGGGATTTGGGCCTTCCCGTAGCCCAGGCTTTCTGGTCTTTGGCTACGTGGGTATAGTGGAAGGCCTGAAGTAACTGTCCTCTTCCTTCATTGCTGGCCATCACTTATCTCATGTGAGGCACAGCTGTTGGATGCAGAGCCATGTCAGGGGCTGCAGAGCATGGAACAAAACTCATAGGGTGTCCCTTCTGTTCCCCAAACTTACTGAACATTGAGGCAACTTTAAAAGGGAAAAGAAGTCATATAAATGAATAGTCTGAGGGAGTCATCTGGAAAACTGAGTTTTCCTTAGGTAATTATGGCGATAGAGGCTTGCAGGCTGATTGTGTGTTACAAGCAAGTGGTTTTGGTGTTTTAAATGGAAGTAGAATGACTTATAAAGCATTTATTAAGCACCTAACTATGTGTGAGACACTGTGCTAAGCATTGGGGATACAAATATGAAAAATAACAATCCCTGCCTTAAAGGAGCATACTGTCTAATAAGGGAAGGCAGCTCACGAAAGGAAGCTGAAATGCAGTGGGAGAGAGGTGAGTTGGGGTCATGGAGAAGAAGTCAGTGAAGTCTAAAATGAATGCAGCCAGGTGGGAAATGAGGCATCAGAGTGCTTTGCAAACCTTAAAGTGCTATATAAATGCTTATTATCATTATTATAAGATACAGACTCTGCCCTCAAGAATAAGGTTTGTACATAAATAGGCTAGAAGGGTATAATACAATAAAGGCAAAGGAAAGGACTAGACAAGGTATTTTAAGAAATTTGAGATTTCATGTGGGGGATTAGGGAGGGCTTCATGAAGGAATCTAAATTGGGTCTTCAAGGAGAAGCAGGGTTTTAACATGTGGAGATGATGAGAGGAGTTAAGAAGAAAGGAGAAGGTAGGACAACAAATAATAATTGGCATTTATTGGGACCACTAGGTGGTTCAGTGAATAGAGCACTAGCTCTGGTACTAGCTGTGTGACCCTGGGCAAGTCACTTAAACCCATTGCCTCCCAAAAGTCCCCCCACCCCCCAAAACAGACAAAAAAAAAAAAACCAAGACATTTATCTAGAGCTGTAAGGTTAGTAAGCTTAAGTCATTTTGTATACATTATCTCATTAAATCTTCATAACAACCATCTACAGATATTATTATCCTCATTTTGCCACTTTATAACTGAGGCTAGAAATGGTGACTTCCCCATAGTAACACAAGTAGTAAGTGTCAGAATTCTGTTCCAAACCCAGCTCTCTCCTCACATCAGGTCCAGTGTACTTTCCCTTATGCTATAAGATCAGTTCTATTTGTCTGGAGAGTAGAGTGCATGCAGGTAATATTTCAAGCTAAGTCTGGGAAGATAGGTTAGAACCAGACTGTAGAGAGCCACAAATACCAAGTAAATAAGATATTTAGATTGTATTTGTGAAGCAAAGGTTTTTAAAAGTAGAAGAGCGATGAGATCAGAACAGTTTATTAGGAAGATGACAGGCAACTTGTGAATGATGGGTTGGAGATGAGATAGGAGTAAAAATATCTAATTAGACTTCAGATTATTTTTAACAGCAGTGCTTCGGCTAGATCTGCCACCTCTCTCCCAGCCATTCTCTAAGTCACTAAAGATCCATTGAATAACCTCAATTTGATATACTGCTTTATGTGGATATCGTCAGTAGAATCTGCCGTTGTAGTGGAATCTTAATCAGCATAAGATATTGTGCCTTTCTTACAGGGACTTTTTTTTTTTAAACCATAAAGGGACATAAAAAGGATATTCATGTGAAAAAAGCAGCTTGAGACAGTTCTGAGAACCTGAGAGTAAACTGCCTCTTGAGTAAATATACTTAGAGGACTTTTTTGAAAGCTGCTCAAAATCACAAGTACTGACTAAAGGTGGAGATGGTTGTAAGGCATTGTTGTCCGTAAGCTCATTTATATTTGGTCCTTTTCAGAGTTTTAAAGGATATATCTGAAAAACTAAAAATTGAAGATCTGGTGGGGAACTATGGGAAAATTGTATATTTTTTGTTAGATACAGATATTGATAGAACTGGGGATTTTGCATTTGTGAGTTAGAAGTAGATTATTTTTTGTATAAGGTCCTGTTCTGAAGCCTTAGAAACCAGAAGTGACCAAGCAAAGACAGAAGGTGAAAAGGCAGGTGAAGAAACAGTAGCTACCTGCCTGTGCTATTCCTTGCTGTCCTCTGGGGCTTGAAAGAGAACCACCAAGGGGGAGAGAGGGGCATTCTATCTGTGTTGCTTTTAGCTGTGCTGCTTAGATATGTTGTTTTGCTGAGAGCTGATTGGAGAAAACAATTCTTAGCTGTTTGAAGAGCTGGCTGGGGAACATTGGCATTACCCTATTTGCTGTCTACTGCTTGGGAAGGAGAAGCCCTCTTGTAACCCATAGAGAACAGAGCACACCATTAGGTTGGCAGATTCCAGGCTTAAGGGAATTACTGCTTCATAGAGAGTGTAATGGCTACAACTTTTCTAAAAGACTATAACTTTGGTTCAGTAACCTGAAAGTAGAGAAGTAGTTTCCTGTATCAGGAGACTAGAGAGGCTCAGAAAGGAGCAGATGATGTGTGATGGAGACCCTTGCTTAAAAGAGACAGCTCACATTCAGGCTTGCAGTCCAGAATCATGAGTTGCTTTATGCATGAGTTTCCTTAATCATTTGCCTCATTGCTAAGTTTCTCTAAGTGTGTGTCTTTGCTCCCCCACAGACACTATATTGTGTGACTCAAGTTTAGTGGTAGATTGTTATATTTTTACTATTTCTGCTTTTGACTAATATTGAGTAAATGTTATATTATGATTATTATTGCTTTGCCTCCTGTTTCAAGATTAAGAGTTGATAGCATCATTAGAGACTAACTTATTTAAATGGTACGTACATCATTAGGGGCCCAGAAGATGCAGTGATGAGCAGGAGAGTATACCTCCCACACACCAGGTTACCCTTAGTACCCTTAGAACATGAATAGTAGCAGTGTGGTCACATCCTTGGCCCACCCCCCTCTCTGAGAAAGCACACACTGCCCCCAGACCTACCAGCATGTATCCAAGTTGAGGTGAGTAAACTAGCCCAGCAAGAGGGGAGGGATTACTGGACCCCATACCAGTGAGGAACACTGCCAGGATGAATCTGTTAGTGTCACATTGTCAAGAATAAACTTTTTTCCCATCTGTGTAAAGGTGCAGATTTGGAAGGAGCAGAGAGAGTGAGGGGGCAAAATGAGGCTGAGAGTCTGGAGTTCCATTCATAGTTCTGCCTCACTGCATGACATGGATGGGGCATTAAATACTTTCTCTTCCTAGGCCAGTTACCAGTTCTGTAAAACTTGAATCTCTCTTTAGTTCATAATATTGTATATTGATGAATGGTTGGTGTGGTGTTCTATACTTTATGACTTGTATTATTTTACTTCCAGAAAACCTTCACTCCTAACATCATTAGCCGGAAGATCAAGGAAGAGTAAGTGGTTAGGCCTCTTGTGAGGCTTCCCCTCATTTAACTGTTTTAGGATCTTGGGGCTCTGTGAAGCTGTTAAGGTGGTCTGAAGCTCAGGCTCTGGTCTATTTAGGCAAAGAAAAACCAAAGACTTTATTCTGGAATACTTTTCATTCTAGCATCCCTGTAGTCACAGAAGTTCATTCCTGAAACACCTTGTGTTAGGTAACCATCTTAAATTCTGTATTTTAATTGTTACTAGTTAGTAAAGTTAAAAGTGATGGGAATCATATTATAAGGGATTGTGCAGAGGAAGAACAGAAGGAAATGGACTCCAGTTTGAGTTCTGACTTGCTTTACCTTAGAATTGAAATATAAGGCCCCATGATTACTGAACCACAAAACTAAGGAAATGTTCCCCAGATTAGAAAAGGTCCATATCGTTAAGGTGGGGAGAATAAGGTACAGCTGCTCTCAGGCAAAGTGACTTTCTTTTCCCCAGGCCAAAGGAAGAAATATCAGTCAAAAAAGAGAAACGAGAGAGGGATCGAGATCGACAGCGAGATGGGCATGGTCGAGGAAGGGGTCGTCCAGAAGTGATCCAGTCCCACTCCATCTTTGAGCAGGGTCCTGCAGAAATGATGAAGAAGAAAGGTATCAGAATGTCGGGGGTCAGAGTGGAAGAAATAGGTGGGGGATTTGAATTAAATCTTTGGGTTGAGACTAGGGATGCTAGAAGTGGCCAGCCTGTCATGAGGAAGAATAAGGGGTGATGTTAATGTTCCCTTGTGTTCTCTTCTTGGACTCTTCTTTATCCCAAACGAGCTGCATGATTTCCTACAGGCAACTGGGATAAGACAGTGGATGTGTCAGACTTTGGCCCATCTCATATTATCAACATTAAAAAGGAGAAGAGGGAAACAGATGAGGAAACTAAACAAATTCTACGCATGCTGGAGAAGGATGATGTATGTACCAGGGATCCCAGGGAGAAGAGGGTATCTGTGTGGTGCTGGGGGAGGGCCTCTGGGAAGGCGTGACTGAAGGAGAGTTCTGAGGTCTTCCAAAGGACTGGACAGCAGCTGGTCTTGGGAATTTTTGCCATCTGCTCCCTTGGTTGGTAAAGGACAAGGTTGGGCACCATTGAATGTTGTGCATTTCCTTCTTGCCAAATTACAAGAGTCCTCTGATTCTTCCTTCTGACAGTTCATAGATGACCCAGGGCTCAAGAATGATACACGAAACAAACCTGTGCAGCTTCCTCTGGCGCACTCAGGGTGGCTCTTCAAAGAAGAAAGTGAAGAACCTGATGTTAAGCCCTGGCTAGGGAGAACCAAGGAAGAGAGTATGGAGGTGGATGTGCCAGCACTGAAAGGTAGCCTCTTTCCCTTCCAGCTTGTCTCACTTTCTCCAGGGCTATTCATTGACAAGTGTTTGCCCAAGCTGGGTATGGAGAAGTAGGACCCTCTACTCCAGGAGGTTGCTCAGCTGCCGCCCTGTGCTAGACTGGGTCCAGCACCAGTAGTTCGGCTGTCCGTAGCCATCTGGCTCCTGGCCCACCAACATGCCTACCTGCAGAATGGGAGCATGCCCAGGAATGAAATGCATCCTCTGAATTCTGACCTCAGTTCAAGGGGCACTTTTCATTGGAAGCCCATGAAGGATGAATGCACACATACTCCCGTTTCTCAAGGCTGGTGAAACATATGTTACAATATATGGTGTGATACATTCTTTTTATGACCTTACCCTGGAATTAGGGAATGCTTCCTGGCTCTAAAAATTGTGTCAGAGAGGCTTCTTGAGACTGTTTGCAGTTTCTTTTCTACATGTTCATTTGGTCAGATCCATTTATGGATCTCCCAGTTAGCACATTTCAGGGTCACTTGCTATAAGATCTTTAAAACATTGAAATTTCATGAATACATAAGTGTGGTAGTTTTTTTTGTAAGTGCAAAGATTTCCACACTTCTACACACACACACACACGCACACACGTGCGCGCGTGTGCGCAAGCTTCCCAGTAGAAATCCCTTCATTTGTTTTCCCTGGTGCAGTGAAAGAGGAACCACAAGATGAGGATGAGGCCAAGGCAGCGGCCCCCTCCCGGCCCAGCCGAACAGCACCTGGACTTCCTCAAGATGTGTCCGTGGCGGACTTACTCAGGGAACTGAACTTTGCCAAGGAGGAAGAACTTTTGTTCCTACAGCTGCCTGACACGCTTCCTGGCCAGCCTCCTACCCAGGACATCAAGCCCATCAAGACGGAGGTTCAAGGAGAAGATGGGCAGATGGTGCTCATGAAGCCAGAGAAAGACCGGGTATGATCGTGAAGAGTGTAAGTGGGGGAGATAGGTCCGAGGGTCCCAGGCGGGGGGAGCCCCAAGTGTGTATCATTCTCATTCTAGCCTGACTCATTATTTTCTACTCCCTGACTCATTTGGGGGATTTTGGTGCAGGAGGGCTCTTTGACAAGCCAAGAGTTCATTCCCTTTGATTCCTTGCCGGGGTAGTTCGAGGTCTTAGGGACGGGGGTAGCTCACTTCCTTGTCACAATTGAGAATGACTCCTCTTCTTTCTTGTCTAATCTATAGGAAGCTAAACTGGCAGAGAACCTTTGTACGCTGAGTGACCTGACAGAGGGTCAGGTGGGAAAACTGCTTATCCGAAAATCAGGAAAGGTGCAGCTGCTTCTGGGCAAAGTGACTCTGGATGTAACAGTGGGTACTTCCTGCTCCTTTTTGCAGGTAATATTTGAAAGGAGTAACCAGTACATTTCTAAAGGGCCTCTGGGGTGAAGTTCTTTGGGAAGGATATTGGAGCCAGGTGCTGAGTCAGAGAACCAGAGGTGGTGGGGGTTCAGGAAAAGTCGAGACTGAGCGGCAATGAGATTATTCTTCCTTCACTTGTAGGAGCTGGTGTCTGTGGGTATTGGAGACAGCAGGACAGGTGATCTGACAGTGCTGGGCCATGTGAAGCACAAGCTCGTGTGTTCCCCTGATTTCGAATCCCTGTTGGATCACAAACAGCGGTAGAACCAGCCGACTCAGGGTGAAAGAGGTGCCATTTGCTCTTTGCCCTAAAATTTTCATTCCTGAACTCCTTTGGGATCCAGAAGACCATTCCAACCTGCAACTCCTGCCTCTGATAAATATCATGGCTGACTGTCCAGAGATTATAAGGGTTCAATGACTTTCTTCCCAAGTGGTGATGAGTGGCTTGATAGCCTTTGGAGAGAGTGGAAATAATATACAAATGCCTACTGCTGTATTTATGGGCTTGTGCCCACTCTATTTATACTGTATATTTATGTCTCCCCCTTTTTTGTACTGACAGTATCCATATGTGCTGAAGGGCAGTGGAGACCCAAATGGAGCCGTGGAAAGTAAGACTATTTCTTTTGGTTTTCCTCTTACTTGAATCTACTGGACGGAAGTAGAGGTGTTTCCTGTGCCTCGACCTCCAACTCCTTCCCCTAGTCCTTCTTTGTCAGCTGTATCTCAAAGGAAAAGGCTCCAACTTTACTCCTCTCAAGCAGGAAACAGGAAAATCTACTACTTTTAAAGGTCCTGAATCACAGAATTGTGCAGGATACCCTTTTTGCCATGGACTCTGAAGCCAACATTTTGCTAGAGTGTAGGCTCTGTTGGAAGGCATGAATAGAGAAGCTTGTGTCAACACACTGTTTGTTCATCTCCATGTGCTCTTGACTGATTTGGGGGGCCCATCCCAAGCCTAACCACTGTAGTACTTTTTCTCTGCTAAAGTAGCTAGGTTCACCTCAGAGAGGGATAATTGTGGTGACCCTGAGGTATTAAAAAGAGGAAAAAGGCAATGGGCTTTATGGAGGGAGGCCCGCTCAAAAACCTTGAGCTAAGAGACTCTCTTTCTATTCCCCACTCTCCCACCACCATAGAACATGCCTACCCTTCTTGGACCACAGTCACAGCCTGGCTTTCCTTGTTTGGCCTATGGTATTATTACCTTCAGTGTACAGGTTGTCCTGGATCACCAGGCATTTCGTCCCTCCAAGGGATAGCCCCTTGAAGAAAAACTCCCCTCTCCTTTCCCTTCCTAGTAGAATCTGTATACCTCCTGGTTCAGCTGTATTGAGTTTCCTCCAGCATTAGCGCCAAGCTGTGATGATACAATGTCATCATACATGCTACATGCCTCAGTTTGCAGGAAGTAGGAGATGCAAGACTTCCAGATATCCTCCCAAAGCATTGCGTTGTTCAAGGACGGTGTAGTGTTACAGTTCTGCATGGATAAAGGGAAAAATCTGTTCTCTGTGGTCTCCAAAGACACAATTGCAGCTGGCCCAAATATATCCAAGGCGCAGAGCGGGGTCTGGCATTGCCTCTGTAGGCTGTTACTAATGGTCCTCTCCCCAGAAATGAGGGTAGTGCTTAGTGCATAATTTCTTAGGAGAAGAGAGTTCCATGGGTACTGAGAAACTTGTGCCCAAAAAGCCCTGTGCTGTGGAAGTGAGGTCACAGTAGGCTGTGATTTTATAAAGATGACCCTCTCCCTGCTTCTAAGTGGCCCTGGTGAGGAAATTCATTTCCTGTAGCAAACTCTTTTCCTTTGTCCTGTTCCACCACTCTGTCAGTCATGGGGGAGGTTTTCCTTGGTCCCATTATCCACAAACCTTCTGGTCAGTAAGTCCGATTGGCTATTGCTCCATTTGCTCACGTCCTTAGTAAGTTAATGCAGCTCTGCTTTGTCCTGAAAAAGCTCCTGCTCTTATCCTAGGAAAGAATTTGGGATAATGACTAGAGAGCTAGCCTTGGAGGCAGGAGGTCCTGGGTTCAGGTCCTGCTTCTCACACTTAAAGGCTGTATGACCTTAGCTAAGTCACAACTTCTCAGGGCCTCAGAATTAAGTTGCAGAACACTTGCTGATCTGTGTTGACAGGGGAAGATTCATCCCTAGGTATTCTCTATACCCTGAAATCAAAGATCTAGACAAATTGGATGACTGGAGAGGACAGGCTTCCTTGGAAGTTCGTTGTCGGTTTAGGCAGGATTTCCACAGGTTGAGTGGGAAGCTGAGCAGACAGGAATTGCTGATGAGCCTGGCTTCCCCTTGACTCTCTGGGTCACAATTATTGCTCCTCTTCTTTTGAAGTAACTGGTGGCACAGTGGATGGGGCACTGAGTCTGGAATCAGGAAGACCTGAGTTCAGATCCAGCTTTAGACCCTTACTGTCCAGGTGACCGTGGGCACGTTACTAAACCTCTTTCAACCTCATTCTCCTGTGTAAAATGGGAACAATAACAGCACCTACCTCCCAGGGTTGTTATGAGGATAAAATGATTAATATTGTATGTGCTACATAAATGTTAGCTGTTATTAGCTACTCTTTGAGAATTGCTAATGACTTTTGTGCCAGTGGATTTCTATGATAAACTCAGTGGTTTCTTTTTGATGAAGAATAAGGACACTTCAGACTCTGAAACTAAATTCAAAGGTGTTAGGTACCCTCCAGGATTTGCCGTCTCTGGCCCTGACCCCTTGGAACTCCTGGGTGGCAATATGGGGTGCCCTTGTGTCAAATGGCTCAGCATATATTTTAGGTTTTAAGTCACAATAAATCAATCATCCTGCATCAGTGTCCTTTTCACTTCTCTCCATCCTCCTGATCCACAGATTAGATGTCATCAAGGGTAAAGAGGAGGGAAAGCAACAATGTCTTCCAGTCTGAGCCTCTGGATCACATATCTTAACTCACTCCTTTCCATGCAATTAATAGAACAAAAGACTGCATAGACTTAACTGCAGTTGTGTATTTATAGTTTATGAAAACATAAATACAAAGAGAAGGGCATTTGTAAAATGAAATGGACTCAGCCAAGATTTCTATTTGAAAACTAGACAAAAACAAAAAGATTGCCACATCGTCTCTATAACCAGGTCCTTGCCTACAAAGCTATGAGGAGCTACAGTGTGTACTAGATGAATAACATGGTGGGGGGGGTGGGGGGGGTTTAAGCAAGTACAGATAGAAAACTAGAGATCCTAAAGAAAGAAGTCATTTAACTCTTCTATGAGGAGCATCTCCAGGAAGGGATCTCTGTGGGGCAAGGCATTTTGTAAATGTTACTCATTTAGCATCTATCAAAGCACCTTTCTGCACACAGTAAGTACATAGCAAATGGTCATATAAAACAAATGGGGAAAGATACCAAAGGCAAAGGCCGGGCCCTGTGCTGTAGGCCAAAGGTGGTGTGCCAGAAGCAAATTAAAATGTAATTGAGAAATTGTTAACAAAATAAAGGTATAATAAAACATGGATAACGTTACCTTTTAAAACCAAGTTAATGTGGCCCATAGGGATCCTTCTGTAGGGATTAGTACCCTTTGTACTTGAGTTTGACACCATTGCTGTAGGTGACAGCTTGGTGTAATGGAGAGAACATTCATTGTTCTCGGCATCCAGAGTGTGGAATTTGAGTCACAGTTCTGCCACTTTATAGAATGAGCAAGTCGAAACCTGAGTCTTGGTTTCCTCATTCATAAAATTGGAATAATAATCACAGATCTTGACCTACTCTCAGAATTGAAAGGGCCCTCAGGCTGTTGAGTCCAGACCATGTATGAGCAATAATCTGACAGCTGAGCGTACAGCTTTCCATAGAACTTCAGTGAGAGCATCCTCGGACAGCCCACTGGATAGCATTCAGTAAGTTTTCCGCTATATCAAGCCTACATTGGCCTATTTACAACTTCTACCCATTGGCCCTAGTTCGTTCTTGGGGCCAGTTAAATCCTTGTAGGTTCCAGCTCTTAAAATCTTTAAACAAAGATCATATCTTCCCTAAGAATGAGCACTGCAGTTTTGCGTAGTGGCTTAAAACTTAAAAATTTAGTAGACATGCACTTATTAGGCATTTACTATGTGCCAGGTACTGTGTTAAGCTCTGTCCCCTCAGGGATCACCTGTTCTAAGCAGGTTCCCCACCCCTGAACTAGGAACACCCAGAATGTATAAAAGTAGATGGAAGGCAATCTGAAAGGGGAAGATGTTTGGCAGGTAGGGGAGCTAGGGAAAGCCTCTTGCAGAAAGTGGGCTTTGACCTGAGTTTTGAAGAAACCCGAAAGTCACAGAAGAGGGGGTGGAGTGTTCTAGGCAGGGTAGACAGGCTGTGCAAAGACATCAAAATGGGAGACGTTTGAGGAATTGCAAATAGGTCAGTGTAGCTGGATTCTAGAATGCCTCGAGGTGAGTAAGGTGGGAAAAAAAATGAAAACAGAAAAGGGTCATTATATAAGGAACTTTAAGTGCCAAATGGTGCTTTTTTGTTTTGTCCTGGAAGTAATAGGAAGCCATTAGAGCTCATTGAGCAGACAAGGGACAACATGATTAGTTGAATATAAGATAGATTGGAGTGGGAAGAGACAGGTTGGCCAGTTAGAAGGCTCTTGAAATACAGGATGTGACTGGAGAGAAAGGGGATGAGATATTGTGAAGGTAGAAATGACAAGATTTGGCAATAGATTGGATCTGTCGGTAAGAGAGAGCGAGGATCCAAGGTTGTAAAGTGGGTGAACGAGAAGAGGGTGGTACTCTCAACTGTAATTTGGAAGTTTGGAAAGGGGGAGGGATGGTAAGAGTTTTGTTTTAGATGTGTTAAGTTTGAGATCCCTAGAGGATGTTCATTTCAAGGTGTCAGCTGGAGGTGGGATGAGTAACACAGCAGAGAGATGAAGGCTGGATATATAGATTTGGGAATCATCTACATAGAGATCATAATTGAACCCATTGGAATTTGATGAGATCACCAAGTGAAGTAATATAACTTTCAGGAGTTTGTAACTAGGGACCTAACTTGGATGGGGAAAAATACATCTTTAGTTTCACCTCAATAAAATTTAATATTTCCTTCAATTTCTTAAAGCCACCAGACGCTTAACCTTCTGTACTTAGTTCCAAATTCTCTCTCTTATACACCACCCTCACCCACTGAAAAGGCAAGCAATATGATGTCAATTATACATGTGAAATCTTACAAATTTCCATATTAGCCATATCACAAAAAAAAAAAGTGAGAGAATTATACTTTAATTTGAACTCCATTCATCAGTTCTCTCTCTGGAGATGGATAGCATTTTTGCATCATAAATCCTTTGGAGTTGTCATGGGTTATTGTATTGATCAGAGCATCCAAGGCTTTCACAGTTACAACATTGCTGTTACTGTGCACAATGATGTCCTACTTCTTGCTTCAGGTTATATGGGTCTTACCGTGTTTTTTCTGAATAGTTTCTTGTAGCACAACAGTACTTCATCATAACCATATGCCACATCTTGTTCAGACATTCTCCAACTGAAGAGCATCCCCTTGATTTTCAATCCTTTGCCACCACAAAAAGCAGATAAAAATATGTTTGTACATATATGTGTTTTTCCTTTTTCTTTGATCTTTTTGGGATACAGATCTAGCAGTGATATTACTGGGTCAAAGGGTATGCACGATAGCCCTTCGGGCATAATTCCAAATTGTTCTGCAGAATGGTTGGACCAGTTCACTATTCAACAATTCATTTTTCCCCATCGCTGCCAGCATTTTTCATTTCTGATAGATGTGAGGTGGTACTTCAGAGTTGTTTTAGTGTGTATTTCTCTAACCAATAGTGATTTAGAGCATTTTTATATGACTATAAATATATGACTTTAATTTTTTCTTCTGAGAACTGCCTATTCCTATCTTTAGACCATTTATTAGTTGGGAAATGGCTTTTATTTTTATAGATTTGACTCAGTTCTCTATGAATTTGAGAAATGAGGCCTTTACCAGAGAAACTTGCTGTAAATTTTTTTGATATTACTTCTCTATGGTAGCTTTTAGCAAAATGTAGTTTTCCTAATTATCTCTTTTGATTGGTCCTATTTTTGCTTTCGTTTTGTTTGAGATCATGATTGTTATCCCTGCCTTTTTTACTTCAGCTGAAGCATATTAGATTCTACTACAGCCGTTTATCTTAACTCTGTGTGTCTTTGTTTCAAGTGTGTCTTTTATAAATAACATATTGTTGGATTCTTGTTTCTAATCCATTCTGCTATCTTCTTTGGTTTTACAGATGAGCTCATCCCATTCACATTCACAGTTATGATTACCGTGTATTTCCCTCCCTCCCATTTTCTTCTCTTTATTCCTCTGTTTTTCTTTTTATCCTGTCCCTCCTCAAAAGGTTTTTTGCTTCTAACCACTGCCTCCCTTAATCGGCCCTTCCTTTTATTATTCCCCACACACACACTTTCTCTTCTCCCCTTCCCCTCCTGTCACCCTATTGGGGAAGATAGATTTCCACATACAACTGAATCGACTCACATCCATGCCCTCTGTCTACGTAAACTCCTTTTAACTACCCTAATAATAACATTCTTAGTAGTTACATAAATCATCTTCTTCTACAGGAATGTAAACAATTTAACCTTATTGAGTACCTTATGATTTTTCCTTGTTTACCTTTTTATGCTTCTCTTGAGTGTTATGTTTGAATGTCAAATTTTATGTTCAGTTCTGGTTGTTTTTTTTTTCAATCATGAATGCTAGAAAGTGCTCTATTTCATTAAATATCCATTTTTTTCCCATAAAGGATTATATTTTGTTTTTCTGGGTAGATTATTCTTGGTTTTAATCTTAGCTTCTTTGCCTTCTGGAATATCATATTCCAAGCCCTCTGCTCCTTTAACCTGGAAGCCACTAAATCTTTGATCCTGGCTGTGGGTTTCATAATATTTGAATTGTTTCTTTCTAGCTGCTTGCAATATTTTTTCCTTGTCCTGGGAGCTCTGGAATTTGGCTATAATATCCCTGGGACTTTTCATTTTGGGATCTCATTCAGGATGGATTCTTTCAATTTCTATTTTACCCTCTGGTTCTAGGATATTAGGCAGTTTTCCTTGATAATTTCTTGACATATGATGTCTAGGCTTTTTTTTTTTTTTATCATGGCTTTCTGGTAGTCCAATTATTTTATTATTTTAAATTATTAAATTGTTTCTCCTCAATCTATTTTCCAGGTCAGTTGTTTTTTTGGCGAGGTATTTCAAATTTTCTTCTATTTTTTCTTTTATTGTTTCTTGATGTCTTATGGAGTCATTAGCTTCTACTTGCCCAGTTCTAATTTTTAATGAATTATTTTCTTCAGCACGATTTTGTACCTCTTTTTCCACTTGGCCTATGCTTTTTAAGGAGCTATTTTCTTCAATGAATTTTTGTGCCTCTTTTACCATTTGGCCAATTCTGTTTTTTTAAGGTGTTATTTTCTTCAATATTTTTTTGTGCCTCTTTTACCAAGCTATTAATTTTTTCTCATAATTTTCTTGTCTCACCCTCATTTCATTTCCCAATTTTTCCTCTACCACTTTTATATCTTTTTTTAACTTTTCTAAGAATTCTCATTGAGCTTGAGTCCAAGTAGCATTTTTCTTTGAGGCTTTGGTTGTAGATGTTTTCATGTTTGCTTCTAACTCTTCTTTGCCACCATAGTAGCTTTTTATGGTCAAGTTCTTTTTACCTTTTGCTCATTTTCCAGCCTATTTCTTGACTTTGAACTTTTTGTTAAAGTTGGGCTCTACTCGCCTAGAGATGGGGAGACATTGTC